CTCCAGGAGAAATGTTCTTCAGCTATGACTATGCTAATCCCCCATAGACCTTTATAGGACTGGACGGCAAAGGTCTCCAGTCTCAGAGTGCAGCCCTATGAAGTAATAAGGTGCAAAAATTATAACAACAAAAAAACTAAAGTTAAGTTGTTAAAATATGGATATAAGAACATCCATATCCTCATTTTTTCCTGCTGTATAATATGAAGGCTCCTATACACTTACACACACAATTTGGATGCAAAGGGATATATCAGACCCCTGTAATAGATCTTGCTGTAGAATGTGGTGCCATGGCTCTTTGTAGAACTTTTTCCCTGTTCACATATATACATAATGGAGTGAATCGGCAGGGGAGCCACATTTTCTATTAATCGCTTATCTCCATCACCGAGAGACTCCAGCCAGTCATTTTGATTACTGGGTCTCCGGGCCTTTTGGGTTCTCTATTGTACTGCACCACTACACTAACAGAAGTAGTGACAGGAAAGTCAAACCTGAAATAGCAAATTAATCTGAGTGGCATTACACTCTCTACCTTAAAGAGTTATTAAACCCAGGACCCTGTATTCACTATATCTGGTCTCCCACAGTACACTACATGGAAATGCAATTATTTTAGTAAATATAAACTGCTAAATACCTTTTCTCATTAGCAGTTAGAGCAGTCTTGTGACTTCTATCAGTGTCCAGCAGAGCACTGGTTAAATCTTGTAGGAGGAGTTTTCATTCTCCGCTGGTTGTCCTTTGATGCTGCATAACCCCTGAGCTCTGTCTGGACAGTGCTGATTGGCCCTGTGCCAATCACATGCACCCTCCCAAAGAAAAAAAAAGACAACACACACCAAACTGAGCATGTGCAGCTTGCCTTCAAAGCTCTTTTCTCAGCAGATGGATGGGGGGCAATAGAAGAAGGGGAGGATCAGAGAAGACAGGATCAAACAGCCTTTTTACACAATGCTGAGGATTAACCCCTTAGGTTCCAAAGTGAGTATAACAAGCATGCATTACTGCATACACAGAATGATTTTTACTGTTGTGGGTTTAGTAACACTTTAAGTATTGTAGGGCTGTTACAGCCATTAGCACATACATGCTAACGTGTGTTGCATTAAAGCAGAACATTTATTTGAATTAGCTGCCTAATGCACTAAAACTGACCAAAAAAGGTGCACCATATTGACACTATGACGCACATTGGTGCATTGTCCGCTGACGGTGCGTTGTGTGCACCCCAATGGAACTCCTATGCCATCTAGAGTGCATTACAGCAACCTATGTAAAGTACGATTAGGCCCTTAAAACAAGCATGTATGTTCGCTCTCTTAAAGAGTCCATAATATTATTAATTAAAAGAAGTTACACCATAAAATACAACATTCTCAATGATCAATCAAGCAGCGTCCTGTGCTAACAGCCCTGTGTATGACATCATGGGCTCCACTGCTCACTACAGATTATGCTGTTTACTCAGATATCCGGCCAGCAGTACGGGTGAAGGTGACATTCCCAGAACAGAACAAGTGGATTGCCATAGGATTGCCAAGACAATATCTCAGGCATCAAAGAGACTGAAACCATATATTGTACCATATTTCCTGCCTCTCCATATTCTGCCTATGAAGTATCCCTAAAAGTCATTTTTTATGCAAATCTCTTGTTTAAATTGATGATGTTCATATGGTTCTGATGGTGTTCAGATCAAGAATTGAAGAATATACAATCAGTATAAATGGTAAAAATAAAGAAACTAAAAATTCCCTACCATACAGGTGGTCCTCTCTTAGGGGGCCAGAGTCCTGAGGTTTCCTCCTTTCCAGCTCCAGGCTTGCAGACAGGCCCCATCCCACTATGCCTCCTGGTTACTGAGCAGACTTTCCCACCTTTTAAGGGAGTCCATCCCCTTGCCAAGCCTCCTGTTGGGGATTGGCTGAGGTCCCTCAAAGGTGCACCCTACCACTCCCCAGATCCACCCACTGCCTCCAAGGCCCTCCTCCAAAAACCTCAGAGCAAGGAGAAATTCCAGGTGGGCTGGCCTTCAGAGTCTCTAAGTTCTGACCAGAATTTGGCTATTGCACCTGAGCTGCTATTCAGCTCCTGTCTAACCATTAGGGATCTTGCTCCACTTAGTGTAACTAGGAGGGTGCCACACAATTAAAATTTAAAACACCTTATAAAATCATTGACCAAAGACAAATAGTAAAATAATGGTGCCACGATGCCTCATATAAGTTAATATCAAATAATATCCAGAAGAGCATAACCCATCACTCAGGGGATAGGAATGCCACATCCCAAACTACAACACAGGATACAAAAAGGGGGTAACCTCCAAAAATAGGGACTTTTAAGGCACTGTGCTACAAAACAAAACAAGAATAAACTATAAAATTATATTCATTGAAGTTCATTAAAACGGTAGACCAACAATTCCACCAACTTAGATAGTAAATATTGGACAAAACATGACCAACAAATCACATGGTAATATTTGACAATTCCATAACCTGCTGTTAAACCTGACGCGTTTCGCAGTCCACATCTGCTTCTTCATCGTCTACAAAAACGTATATACTTTCACAGTAACAAATATATATATACAGTATCTCCCAGAAGTGAGTCCGCCCCTCACATTTTTGTAAATATTTCATTCTATCTATTCATGTGACAACACTGAAGAAATGACACTTTGCTACAATGTGACGTAGTGAGTGTACAGCTTGTATAACATGTATATTTGCTGTCCCCTCAAAATAACTCAACACACAGCCATTAATGTCTAAACCGCTGGCAACAAAAGTGAGTCCACCCCTAAGTGACAATGTCCAAAGTGGGCCCAAAATGTCAATATTTTGTGTGGCCACCATTATTTTCCAGCACTGCCTTAACCCTCTTGGGCATGGAGTTCACCAGAGCTTCACAGGTTGCCACTGGAGTCCTCTTCCACTCCTCCATGACGACATTGTGACTTCACGGGCCGACTCGGTGTCATGACGCTGGGGATTGGGCCTGGCATCCCCCTTGCTGAGGCCATATAGGGGAGAGGTGGCGACGGAGCCAGATGTGATTACTGGGCTGCTTTTTTTTCTTGGGACGTTTGACTGGGTTATGGGCCACCAGGTGCTGGGTTCAACTTTTCATTTCTACTATATGAGCGCTCTTGCCAATATCTATATTGATCAATTGTGGATCTGAAGTTTGGAGGCAGACTTTAGGGGGTAAGTGAAGTTGAGGGATACTCTCCCCATGTGTGTGTGTTTTTTTTGGGGGGGGGAGGGTTAATAGTATATACCCATATGCTAGATATACTGTATGTCTCTAGGAGGGTGTTTTTGGCAAAGAGCTCATTCCTTATATTTTTGGAAGAATTATCTTAAGTATAATATTTTGCCCCCCCGTTAGAAATTATTGGAGCATATGCCATTATATATGGATATTGGTCTTTGGTCTTCTCGAGTTTTCTAAAACTACTTTAACAGAAAGATTATATATTTTCACCTTTTCTTACATTTGATAACTAGCAGTGGTCTTCACCCCCTCCTCTCCTCTGTGTGTCTGGCATGGTTTCTCCCTTCTTCCCCTTTTTGGGGGGAGATGGATATATGGGCATATGATGCAGCGTCTATCCCTGGTGGCAGACATCAGTGTATATTATCGCTTTGGAACCACTAACAAGTTTGTTATCTAAGTGAATACAGTGGTAAGAGTTTCAACAAATTATCTATGTTATGTGTATTAATAGTTGGAATATTTTCATGTAGACATACATATATTTGTTACTGTGAAGTTATGTACTTGTTTTTGTAGATGACCCCCGCAAAACCTTTGAAGAAGCAGATGTGGACTGTGAAATGCGTTGGCAGAAAAAAATGGGATATGGAATCGTCAAATCTTATCATGTGATTTGTTGGTCATGTTTTATCAACTATTTTACTAACTAAGTGGTGGAATTGTTGGTCCACCGTTTTAATGGACTTCAATAAATATAATTTTATATATTATTTTATATATTATATATAAATTATATTATTAATTCTTGTTTTGTATTTTAGCACAGTGCCTTAAAAGTCCCTATTTTTGGAGGTTACTCCCTTTTTGTATCCTGTGTAATATCAAATAATGGAATAGGCTAATCGGTGAATTTGTCACTTTGGATCTGCTGCACATTTATTATATCTTGTTTTAGTTTTTTTAAGCACTGCACTTATTTTAATTATTACCTGTAAGTTTGATGGTGGGAACTACTTTTTAGTGCTGGTTTGCTGGTAGGTAGGGCCATATAGTGCATGGAGTCTGTTTTGTGTGTTTTTATAATATCTTGCATTTTTTTTATTTTTTTGTCTATAAATTGCATAAAAAAGTAAAATGAAGAGCCTATCATTTTTGAGACAACATCACCAAAAGAAAGCCTTCTATGTCCTAAACAATATTTGTATTACTTTGCAATGACAAAGTTATTGCTGAATAAAACATCACACAGTGGAATTTTAAGGTCCATAGGGGGGCACAGGTGGGAAAGCTGAACTGGTTAACGATCGCAGGTTGAATTAGTAATACATCTCAGATTCAGAGATTTACTGTGGCAACTGCTGGCGTCATTGGGCCTCCTGAATCTTGCTGGCAATTAGTCCCTTATTAGCATGCAGTTCCAGGACAATGAAGGTCCTGAGATATTTAGTGGAACACAGATAGCTGAATCAGAGAATCCTTTGCACAGTTTGCGCGCACATCTGGGGGACCCTGTACAAGCAGTGATAACACACATTTAATGTTGTTTGCACAGGCAGAGAATGAGCCTCTGACGTTGGCAAGGCTATTACCCAGAGGACACAATGAAAGCCACACAGAAGAGCCGGGGACTGGCCGCCAAATGTCACAAATGTGAGTGAGCAAAGTGGAATTTGATTGAGGTCTTGGATGTGTTGGGGGGGACACTGGGTTATAAGAGGGACCGCGGCTCGCCTGGCGCCAGAAAGTTCTGACAAGCCTTCCTTAAAGGCGCTCACACATAGCAACAATTTTAGCGGATAGGCAAGGCATGGACGCTATAGTAATTCTTAGTCTGATCACGATGGCACTTTTCTCCACCACCCGACTTGTGCATTGTGCTCCACTGGGACGCGATGACGCTCTGCGACTTAGAGAAGGTATGTGCAAATAGCAAAATATACATAACAGGTATAGGATTGCTTGTATAGAGCAAGGATGCCCAAAGTACCATTTAATGACTTCATTTTTTGTTTTTTACAAAAGTACAGGTCATCATTTTTATGGACACATTGGGATTGATTTACTAAAGTAGCAGAGGCTGTTTACTTAAGGAAGCCAATGTTCCCATAGCTTAGTAAGTAAAATGAAGCAGAGTTCACTTTCTGCAAGGGAGACTAAAAAAAAATATAGGTTTGCTTGCACATGATTGGATGATTGAGGTGAACACAGCTTCTATTCATTCACTAGGTTTAGTAGATGTTCACCTTTGAAAATGTAGGTGTATTCAAGAATTTCTTAACCTTTCCAACATGGAGGAGCCCTTGGAATAATTTTCATGTCTCAAGGACTCCCTGCAAAATTATTACATATACCCAGTGTGGATAAAATGGGACATCTCCCAGGTAATATTTGCTATGGTTTTCTTTGTACTGGTCCATTAGGTTAGTGGACCATGGGAGAATGACGCTACTATATTATTGGTCAATGGGAGTAGGACCCCCTTTATGTTAGTGGTCAGTGGGAGAAGGACTACCTTATGTTGGTGGTCAGTGGGAGAAGGACTGTCTTATGTTAGTGGCCAGTGGGAGAAGGACCCCCTTACATTTGTGGACAGTGGCAGAAAGCCCTCCTTATCTTAGTGGTCAGTGGGAGAAAGACCCCTTATGTTAGTGGTCAGTGGAGGACGAACTACCTTATTTTAATGGTCAGTGGAAGAAAGACCCCCTTATATTACGCTATATAAGTACCTGAAATAAATCAAAATAAAAATAAAATAAATTAGTGGTCAGTGGAATAAGGACCCCCTTATGCTAGTGGTCAGTGGGAGAAGGACCCCTTATGTTAGTGGTTGGTGGAAGAACTACCTAATATTATTGGTCAGTGGAAGAAAGACCCCCTTATATTATTGGTCAGTGGGAGAAGAACCCCCTTATATTAGTGGTCAGTGGGAGAAAGCCCCCCTTATATTAGTGGTCATTAAAAGAAGGACCCCGTTATATTAGTGATCTGTGGGAGAAGAACCACCCTATATTAGTGGCCAGTGTGAGAAAGACCCTTATATGTTCATGGCCAGTGGGAGAAGGACCCCCTTATGTTCATGGTCAAAGAGTGAAGGACACCCTTATATTAGTGGCTAGTGGGAGAAGGACCCCCTTATGTTAGTGATCAGTGGGTGAAGGACCCCTTTATATTAATTGGCAGTGGGAGAAGGACCCCCTTATGTTAGTGTTCAGTGAGAGATGGGCCCCCTTATATTAGTGGCTATTGGGAAAAGGACCGCTTATATTAGTGGTCAATGGAAGAAGGACCCACTTATGTTAGTGATCAGTGTGAGAAGGACCCTCTTATATTAGTGGATATTGTAAGAACAACTCCATTATATTAGTGGTCAGTGGGAGAAGGACCCCTTTATAGTAGTGGTCAGTGGGAGAAGGACCCCCTTTATAATAGTGGTCAGTGGGAGAAGGACCCCCTTTTAGTAGTGGTCAATGGGAGAAGGACCCCCTTTTAGTAGTGGTCAGTGGGAGAAGGACCCCCGTTATAATAGTGGTCAATGGGAGAAGGACCCCCTTATATTAGTGGTCAGTGGGAAAAGGACCCTCTTACGTTAGTAGTCGGAGGAAGAAGGACACTTTTGCATTGAGATCAGTGGAATGACTGCCATTCCTAAAAATAGCTATTGATGGCAACGGATAATGAGAGATAAAATAATTTTATTGCTCAAGGAACCCCTTGTAATCTTTGGAGGAACCTTGAGGTTCCATGGAATCTCGGTTGAGAAAGGCTGCTCTGTTCCTTTAATAAATCAATTCCATTTCCATTAGAGCTGTGCAAACAAGTGCTAGGTGTTACCATGCACCCAGAGTTTAAATTTCCCATGCAGATTCTGCTCTCAGCATTCTCTTATGAGGACAGGACTTACTCTGAGGATTGCTAAAAATGTAAATGTATATCTAAACCTATACAATGAGCTTCTCTTATTTGCTCCCTTTTGGTCTATTAAATATATATAGTTACATAGTTAGTCAGCTGACAAAAGTCTATCCAGTTCAACCAAAAAAAAAAAAGTTATACTCCTATACCTACAGTTGATCCAGAGGAAGGCAAAAACCCAGCAAAGCATGATCCAATTTGCTCCTGCAGTAGAAAAAATTCCTTCCTGATCCCAGAGAGGCATTTGGATATTCCCTGGATCAACTTTACCTATAAATGTTAGTATCCAGTTATATTCTGTGTATATAGGAAAGAATCCAGGACTTTTATAAAGCAATCCACTGAGCTGGCCAGAACCAACTCTTGAGGGAGTCTATTCCACATTTTCACAGCTCTCACTGTGAAGAAACCTTTCTGTGTTTGGAGATTAAATTTCTTTTCCTCCAGATGTAAAGAGTGCCCCCTTGTCCTCTGTGATGACCTCAGGGTGAATAGCTCTACACCGAGTTCACTATATGAACCACTGATGTATTTATACATGGAGATCATATCCCCTCTTATGTATTATACATGGAGATCATATCCCCCCCTTATGTATTATACATGGAGATCATATCCCCCCTTATGTATTATACATGGAGATCATATCCCCCCTTATGTATTATACATGGAGATCATATCCCCCCCCTTATGTATTATACATGGAGATCATATCCCCCCTTATGTATTATACATGGAGATCATATCCCCCCTTATGTATTATACATGGAGATCATATCCCCCTTATGTATTATACATGGAGATCATATCCCCCCTTATGTATTATACATGGAGATCATATCCCCCCTTATGTATTATACATGGTGATCATATCCCCCCTTATGTATTATACATGGAGATCATATCCCCCCTTATGTATTATACATGTTGATCATATCCCCCCTTATGTATTATACATGGAGATCATATCCCCCCTTATGTATTATACATGGAGATCATATCCCCCTTATGTATTATACATGGAGATCATATCCCCCCTTATGTATTATACATGGAGATCATATCCCCCCTTATGTATTATACATGGAGATCATATCCCCCCTTATGTATTATACATGGAGATCATATCCCCCCTTATGTATTATACATGGAGATCATATCCCCCCTTATGTATTATACATGGAGATCATATCCCCCCGTATGTATTATACATGGAGATCATATCCCCCCTTATGTATTATACATGGAGATCATATCCCCCCTTAATCTCCTCTTCTCAAGAGAGAATAAATTCAGTTCCTCTAATCTTTCCTCATAGCTGAGCTCCTCCATGCCTCTTATCAGTTTGGTTGCCCTTCTCTGTACTTCTTCAGTTCCCCAATGTTTTTTTTTTGTGAATTGGTGCCCAAAATTGAACTGCATATTCCAGATGAGGTCTTACTAATGATTTGTACCGGGGTAATATGATATCTCTCTCTCTGGAGTCTATACCTCTTTTAATACAAGAGAGGATTTTGCTCGCTTTAGAAACTGCAACTTGGCATTGCATGCCATTATTAAGCTTGTGATCCACCAGAACTCCCAGATCCTCCTCCACCATTGATTCCCCCAGTTATACCCCCCCTAGTATGTATGATGCATGCATATTCTTAGCCCCCAAGTGCAGAACCTTACATTTATCAACATTAAACCTCATTTGCCAAATAGATGCCCAATTACACAGAGCATTGAGGTCGGCTTTTAAGTTAGAGACATCCTGTAAGGACGCTATTCCACTGCACAGCTTGGTGTCATCTGCAAAGACTGAAATGGGATTTATAGCCAGTTTTCTATGAATTTACATACTGATATTTCCAAGCCGGTAGAATTTACCTTACACATTATACCACTGGAAGTGTTTTCTTAAATCTGTGCAAAAAAAAACACCTGTTGATTCCACCAAAAATCTGCTGATGACTTTTTATGCTCTCTGCACTGTTATCTGATAACACTGTTCCCAGCTATCTCTATGGATTGCAAAACATCTCCTTCTATGTTATGGGGAAGGAGTTCTGTAGTTTTAACACACTACCTGTCCTAGGGTGACAAGGTTGCTTCTCTGTGGCTGCAGCATGGAGTGAGCATTATCAGCCTAGGACAGGAAATGTGTTATTGACAGGATCAGCAGGCTAAAAAAAAAGACAGAAACTGAAAAAAAATAATGCAGCTGCAATGAAATTTACATTTTAGTTTAGACACACTTTAACTCATTGTATACTCTCTGGTTAAAAACACTATCATAACACAAGAGTCAATAAGAGTTAATACACGTAATAATAGTAAGTTGATTTTCATAATTTCTCAAGCCTTTTGTTAATATATATATATATATATAGTTTTGGAGTTTTTTACATTTGCATGCACACCAAATGTTCCAGTGGTACTTAGAAAGTTGAACTCTTCTTTAAAAGAAAACCAAAAAGAAAACATTTTCTGCAACTGATTAAATGCCACTTGTAATGTTTTAGTTTAGTAATTGTTGAAATTGCAGGACAGCTTGGTCTGCATGTAAAGGTGAAGAAAATATAAATAAAGATAATATTGGAAAAACAAATTAAAACACTAAATGCTGTTATTACATGCATCAACCACTTACAATAATAGAACAAAATTATTAAATAAACAATCATTCGTTTTTTTAAATCAGTCATACTTCTCATAATTTACACATTTCTGTTTAAGCAGCCAAATATATATATATATATATATATATATATATATATATATATATATATATCTTTTTTTATGTACTTCTACTACTACTAATATAGTAATAAAAATAATATATATCTTCACAATAATAATAATGATCCTTTTTTAAAAAATTCTGTGGAGATTCTTCAATTAATTATACACAAAGCAAAATTTTGCTAATAACGATTAATATATTACTGAATTTTTTACACAATTTTTTTACAATTATGCTAATTTAATTTTGAAACATGCTTGTGCAGTGCTTAGTTAAAGTGTTACCAAACCCAGGGTCCTGCATTCACTATATCTGGTCTGCCACAGTACACAGAACATGGAAATGCAATTATTTTAGTAAATATAAACTGCTAAATCCATTTTCTCATCAGCAGTTAGAGCAGTCTTGTGACTTATATCAGTGTCCAGCTGAGCACTGGTTAAAGCTTGTAGGAGGAGTTTTCATTCTGCTCTGACTGTCCTATGAGGATGCATAACCCCTGACCCTCTGTCTGGAGAGTTCTGATTGGCCCTGTGCTTCTCTAGCCATACACACAAAACTGAGCATGTGCAGAGTGACTCCTAGAGCTCTGTACTATCAGCAGATGGATTGGGGACAGTAGAAGAAGGGGAGGATCAGAGAAGACAGGATCAAACAGCCTTTTTCCACAATGCATAGGCTTAACCCTTAGGTTCCACAGTAAGTATAACAAGCATGCTTTATTACATATACAGACTGATTTTACTGTTGTGGGTTTAGTAACACTTTAATTCTAGCGTAATATGATTTTTACCAAACCTACACTGAAGATGTATCCTTCTGGTGCATGTGTGTTTTAAATACACAGTGGTTCCTTTTTTCACCTGCAGTGAATGTGAGCTTCACTAATTTATAAATATACCCCTCAATGTTATTTTTCTAATAATGAAAATCATGACTATAGAATATATTTTTAAAGCTGAACTCCAGGCAGATATAAAATCATAATTTGCTGCAGCTCTGTAACCATGAATACACTCTTACATTATTTTTTTTTTAATGGAAGAAGTGTAAGTGCTTGTATTTGACTTGGTATCCGCCTCTTGCAGCCCTCTATACAGCAGGGTTCAGACCCAGGGAGGGAAAAGCAGCACAAAGAGTTAATCAGTTGTTTGAGTCCAAGAATGCTGATAGGAGGAGAGAGCAGAGTGACAGAGAGACGAGCTCAGCAGTATTCTGCTTCCCCCACCCTCACTGGAAGAACAAGACCTTTGAGCCTGGGCTCACTCTGAGGTGAAGAATTCACAGCATTTTCTGTGTGCATTCCGCACCGCATCACAATCGCACTCCGTTCATGCGAACCGCTGCGGGTGTGTATGTTAAGTTACAAAATGTACGGCTCCAATCGCACCACACACAGATCGCATGTGATATGCCACAACACACAAGTGTGAACACGGGCAGAGTGTTATTTCACTGCAGCAGAAAAAAAATTCAGGTCTCCTGCCTGTTGGACGGGACTGTGCTGTGTGTCAGAGCTGTGTAATTCTCAGGAATGGAGGAACAGAAATGTATCTGTTTTCCTGAGGTTCACTCTGAAAATTCCTGTCTGGTTAATTCACATATAACAATGCAGCTTACGTTCATCATCAGTCACCAATGGAATAAAATAAGTTATGTTGAAATTGAAAAAAAAAAAAAAAATACTTGATGAATTTGCACTCACGGCCACTTTATTAGGCACGCCTGGTCAATTGCTTGGTAACACAAATTGCTAATCAGCCAATCACATGGCAGCAACTCAATGCATTTAGGCATCTGCACATGGTGAAGATGACTTGCTGAAGTTCAAACTGAGCATCAGAATGGGGAAGAAAGGGGATTTAAGTGACTTTGATGTGGCATGATTGTTGGTGCCAGAGGGGCTGGTATAAGTATTTCAAAAACTGCTGATCTGCTGGGATTTTCATGCACAACCATCTCTAGGGTTTGCAGAGAATGGTCCAAAAAAGAGAAAATATCCAGTGAGTGGCAGGTGTGTGGTGGAAATGCCTTGTTGATGTCAGAGGTCTGAGGAGAATGGGCAGACTGGTTTGAGATGATAGAAAGTAACTCAGGTCAATATGGACCAAAATCTCTGAGGAATGTTTCCAACACCTTGTTTAATCTATGCCAGGAAGAAAATAAGCCAGTTCTGTAGGCACAGGGGGTCCAACCCAGTACTAGCAAGGTGTACCTAACAGGGGTGGACTGACAACTCATGGGGCCTCCAGGCAATAGGAAATCATGGGGCCCCTGTGTCCTTGCCCACACTTAAACCACACCCAAAAAAGCAGATGAAAGGTATCAGGGGCATCTCATGGGTCCTCTTACTGACCCGAGTGCCCAAATGGTCAGTCTGCCCCTGGTACCTAATAATGTGGCTGGTGAGTGTATCTGTCAAGAATAAACTCAGTCTCGGTTGTCTGTTTTTATTTCATTAGAGGAATCAGAAGAGACAGAACAAGGACGCCCGGAGACAGACGAGCGCGATAGAATTGTGACTTTTTTAGCTTTATTGGAGAAAGCAGAAAGAATTGCCAGTTCTAGATTTGCAGCTCAGATCACTGGAATTAGAGGTAAGCTTCCCCATTCCCTACTATGGCCACCGTATAGGGTAGCTGGTCTCAGCCTCTTCATGAATGTCTCCTGATAACTGTCTAGAACATTATTTTTTTTAAAGCAAATATCTCTGTAAGCCAAATGCAGGAATATTTTAATTCAGAAAAACCTTAAAATTTATTTTCTGACCAGGGGCGGACTGACAACTCATGGGGCCCCCGGGCAATAGGGGATCATGGGGCCCCGTGTCCTTGCCCAAGCTCAAAAAAGCCTATGAAAAAGGTACCAGGGGCATCTCATGGGGCCCCCTACTGACCTCGGGCTCTCGGGCAGTGCCCGAGTTTCCAAATGGTCAGTCCGCCCCTGGTCCTGACCAATCTTTTTTCTTCTAGTTTTGGATAGGGATCAGCTCAGTGTTCGCTTTGAACTTTAGTTTGGAGTGAGTTCTGGCTGTTTGGACATCAGTGCTTGATAAGGAAACAGCAGGTGCTTGCAATCGCTGCACCCATACCAATCATTGATGGTATCCTACCCATTCATTTACATGGACAGGAATCCCTGACCACATGGAGGACTTAAATCATTGTCAAAATATGTCAATATGGGCAAAATATATTTGGGCAATGATGTCACCACTATGCCCACCCATTCCCTGGCAGAGATGTGCCCCTTCGCAGGCAGTTATACTTTAACTAACTCACATATTGATAAAGACATGAAATACGAACAAAGTATAGCCCTTTATAGTGTGTGCTTATCTCAATCCAGAACACTGAGTGTCATTTCGGTCTATTGCTTTATTCCTCTGCAGTCAGCCTAAATCACTTCTGATTTTGCTGATACCAAAAGAAAAATGGTGACAAGGGTGGGCACAGCCTGTGATTGACAGCCTCAGCTCTGTTCTTGTGTACTGTTTGGAGGGACCTACGTCCCTTCCCTCCAGTCAACTCTCAGATCTCTCCTCACTAAGCTCACAGAGCGTAATTTTAGCTCTCAGCTCCTTTTTTCTGACAGCTCAGATAAGCTTTATAAAATCTGCACTTTGAAAGGATAAAGAGAAGAGAAGATAAACAGATACAACTATTGCTGAAGGGTTTGTTTTTTCTCTGTGTATTACCTCCAGCCAGTCACTTCTCTGGGTAAATGTTAGGGTTTACAACCACTTTAACTTGTAGAAAGTGTCCAAAAACTGGAAAAGTGTACTAGTTGTGGTTTGATAAGGGCCTATGCAGTGCGTCACCCAGCTCAAGATTTGGTAAACCATGGCTGTTATTTTTTTCCTGGCTGTGTAGGGTGTCTTTAGTTGACCCCTTGTCATGCCATCCTCATAATTTGAAGGCAATAAACATTCAGATACTTATGATTTGCCAAAATTAAAGATTCGGCTGCGTTGTATGGGCACCTGTTGCCAAGAGAAGGTGAACATGTCAAGCACATCCTCTCATTGTGAACTCCTGGGGCACTCACTCCACACTCCTCTATGGCGTTCCTCCTGATCTCCAGGAGACTGAATTTTTAAATAACAGGAATGTCAGACTATGTACACTGAGAGCACTAGAACACAGGGCCGTTCTGAGAAGAACAGCCACGTTATCCATCTATTAAATGGAATCAAGTTCAAAAAATGCCAACCATCTTGATAAAGACAAAACAAGAAGACATTTTTAGCATCCATTGTCCAAGGTCAGGAGGTTATATTTGTTAGAGTTGAACAAAGGAGTTTTTACAAGGGGAAAGAACATACAGTAATTTGTTTCCAAACATTATTTCTACTGTTCTGCCTTGCTTTGACAAAAAACTTTTAGAAAGACGTCAAGCTGCGTCAGATGCCCAATATGGCAGCATAGCTGCATAGTAATCAAGGAAAATGTTTGATCAGTCTACAGACAATTTATCAACTTGAAATGTTGGAATGGTGTACTTCTATTGTCTGTATGTGATCAACCCTTGTTTTTAATTTTTTTATATTACACTGTACTTTTCTGTAAGAAAAACAAGCAGAAAGGAAAAGTAGTTGTGCTGCACCTAGTATCCAATCAGAATGCATCTAATGCTCCCTAAACTCAAATAAAAAAAAAACCTCAGAATCATTATTTTTATCACTTCCATCTCTAGACACAAGACTTGGACTGGTCTTAACCCTTTGAGGACCAAGGGACGTATTTGTCCCATGTTTGTAATTGCGTGTATCATCTGATTAAGAACTTAAAACTCTTTTTTTGTTTTGGTTTGAGTAAAAATATTAGTTCTTATCAACAAACAACAAATGGATCTAGCGTTTTGCCAATTATTTCATGAAATGGCTTAGTTACAGCAACTGAAGTGTACGAACTTTAAAAACAAAAAAATTGATTCTTTTGGCGTTCCAAAACCTTACGGTCCTCAAAGGGTTAAACCAGGCAGACCAACTTTGGGCCCTTCTATCAGGTGATTAGGTCTCAAATCTTCAAATTTATCACACTTCACTGGTACCAAGGCAAATCTGTTTATCCTTGCAAACTCTATCAATATCTAAAGACCGTATACATCCACCTGTTCAAGGTATTTCGCTATGGTGAACCTCCCCAATGGGAACCCAGGTCACACCAACAGTTGCTAAAGAAACTCTTGCTAAGTAGCTAACAGAAGGAGAGATGGGAGCAAGGGTGAAAATATGGTGGACACTGCCAGAACCCGGACACTGCCAGTACTGGGAAACCAGGTCACACCAACAGTTGTTGAAGATACTCTTGACAAGTTGCCAACAGAAGGAGGGATTTGAGAAAGAGTGGAAATTTTTGACATCGACACTGCCAGAACTATGGAGTAAGGTACTACAAAATCATCCGACCAGTAGATGTAAGGAGGGGAGCAAAATTTGTTTCCTGGACTAGGTACAGTAGTACCAAAATAGCAAGAGTATCTTCAGCAACTGATGGTGGTACCTGGTTTCATATTGGAGAGGTTCCTCCTAGTGCAAAGCTCTCATCAACGTTTTTGAGTTTGTAGAATTTTCAGGTGGGAGACCATGCTTCCTCACCCACAGGTTCCTTCACAAATTTTTTTAGATATTAATAAATGGTGCAAATTACATTCTCACCTCCAGCACCATGTGAAGAAAGTCACTATTAGGTAGAGCAATGTAGTTTGTAATAATGGCTTTTAATTGGTGGTTGCTTGCTGTTGATCAGAAGCAGGACTGACAAATTACACAGTGTCTTAACCTCCCTAGCGGTCTGATTATGTCAGTATTTCTGTGCTCAAAGCAGTACATTTTGTTGCATGGAAATATGTCATTTTTTTATTGTAGGCCTGTAATTCTTAGGAATAACTCACTGATATCTGTCCGAACAAGAGTCTAGTAAACATCCCGGGTAGGATAAAACTTGAAAGTTTACTTGCACTTTAAATTAAAGTGTAAGTAAACCCTAACAATGAACTTTTCTTATTCGCTCTCTTTTGATCGGTTAAATATACTAATGCACTACCACCTTAGGAGTTGCTGGATTGTTTTCGGGCTCCCTGTTGCTCTGGACCCCTCTCTGAAAGCCCAACCCCCACTGACACCACAGTACACTCTTACCCGGAATAAATTACCACCAGGAAGTAAACGCACACACTGATTGGAGTAAACTGGTAAGAGGTTTATAGCAGATTTACATGTAGTTTGATTACACAGCATAAACAAAATCAGCATATGCAGAGTCAGTTGTTACTTGTGTCAACTGTAAATAAAAGTCAATACTTATCACAGAGCCACAGATAGTATTAGCAGGCCTACTTCTCAGAAACTAACCTGAAGGGGCTTTATAGTCCCCAGTGAGCAACGAGAACTATCAAAAAAGGCAAGGCTAGGCCACCTTGGGCCCTCAGGACCTGATGGCAGGAATTTAGCTTGAAATAAAAGAGCTCTTTACCCCTGAAGTAACCAATGTCCCTTTAAGTGCAGTGAAGAGTCTTCTGCATGCATGATGGGGCCCAGTTGGTGCACAATGAATAGTGATTCTCTGAAGAATGGTGCAATAAAGCAAACAAGAAACAGCACTCCTCCTTAAAGTGGCAATGGACTGGTGTAATGTCCCTTTAAGTGCACTGGTCACTAGTAGATTTGAAGAAAAAAAGATGTTGAGCAAGTAATTGTTGATACAGGGTAGCCCCTCTCTGGACTGCAAGACTATTGGCACAATAGGAAAAGGTCTCTTTAAAAGGGTAAATTGATGATGATAGTGACATGGCCATGGTTCGGCCTGCAGGATTGCTGTCCTATCAGTGCTGGTGTTAAGTGTGGTTAAGCAATATCAGCTGGAGAAACTAGGCCGCAACTTATAGTGACTGTATGCGATCTCAGCAACTGTGTGGAGGAAATAGCAACTATGGAGCAAGTGTCAGTGTTCTTTCCTTAGGCAAGGCTTGGAACTCTCTCACCCAAGGAATGGCATCTGGCGGATCCTTGCAGTCTTTCTCTCTCTCCAGATGGGGCCACTCAAGCTCTCTGGTCTTGCCTGCAGCGTTAGGGCTCATGTACACGGGGCGTTTGGAAAACTCTTCTGAACGATGGAAACTGCTGGAAAATGTAGATTAAAAAACGTCAGTTTAGCCACGTTTGCATACCGCGTTTATGCGCGTTTGCATTTAGATACAATTTTAAAAGATTACCTCAGGAGACTTTCCCAGAATGCACTGAAAAATAGTAAATAATTAACTATTTCAGAAATTTTGTGAGTAATAGAGAGCAGAAGCAGAGAGAGCAGTATGTGTTGTGATGACCTGTCTTTTCTGGTTGTATTCACTATGGATCCCATCATGAGCATAATGCGGCAGGTTCTACCATTTTTTCCTTCGCGCAAAACCTGGAACTGACTGCGCTGGTGTACTAAGTCCATTTGAATACATGGAAAACGCTTTGCATGCATTTCTGATGATGCATATAAGGCTCTGGACATCATCTGGACATGGAACAGTTAAAAAACACTTCTAAACGCAATCGCTTATAAATGCGGTTAACTGCGTTTAGAAGCATTTACACACATTTACAAGTATTTGGCGTTTGAAATGCCGGTAAAATCTACTCCTGAGCGCAAGTTTGGTGCGTTCAAAAAAACGACTGTAAACGCAACTGCCTGTAAACGACGATGTGTACACGGACACATAGGAAAACATTAGGGAGAGTTCAGGGGCTGCTGAAAAAAACGCTCAACAGCTCCGGAACGTCAGTTTAGCAGCTGCAGTGTACATGAGCCCTTACTTTCAGCCACCTGCTGGCAGATCAGCTCTCTGGATCAAGCGGCAAGGTCAGCGATCAGTAGATTCTCCTTGCCTTCCTTCTCTCTCCTCCCGCGGCCTGGTCCGGTTCTCAGGTGATCAGCACACTGCTCTCTTTAGATTTCTCCCCTCTCACTTCCGGTCCAGTCTCCTGGGCTTTGCTATAATAAAGCCCCCCGCCCACAGCCAGCTCCTCTGGGAAATGTAGTTTCTTATTGCATTGCTCCTCAGTAAAGTCCTGAGATTCAGCATACAAGTTCCGTAGAACTGTTCTTCAATATGTGAATGCCACTGTTCTGCAGGACATTGCCACATGGGGCGGTTTTAACATCCTGCATCAAACATTTATAGCAGGGTGTTACAATACCTTTGAAAGTGTTTTGTTTTATCTGTGAGCCAATCATTTCCTGTAGTGAGCTGACTGGAAATCCCAAGCAGTGTTATCAGCACTGCTCAGATCACCTCTGTGGACTGTAGAACACCTTCACACTATGTTATGGAGGAGAATAGAGGGGAAGGTGTTCTGCAGCTGTAACACATCATATCCTAGGATGTCTGCACCCCTGTTGTGTCCATTATGAGGGGCTCTGACTCCCCCTGCTGTTTTTATTTCATATTACAGAGAATATAACAGGAGTAGCTTGAGCACATAAAGGTGGGCAGTAACATGTCAGCGGGTGACAGGCTGCCTCGCACGTGGCCATAATGAGCAGCCCAGACGACCCCCAATGTTAACTGACCTTCTAGGCAATACGATACCTTTGATCATGACTCTCATATGTGGGTGGCAGTGCGGAGGCCGGTCCTATTTCCACCCTCCGGGCTGTGCGACTTCACCCCCTCACACCAAAAGGTTCCAGACATTGGCCTCCACTTTCTCAGGCTCAATAGGCAACACAAGGCTGGATTGGTTAACGTTCTTTACTTGAAAGCCTCAATTATCAACATGGCTATTCATGGGTTGCAGACCCCAACACATTTCCATCAGCAGTAAAGAACACTTGGTCTCAGGCCCTACCAGTTGCTGTTAGTGTCTCCGCAGAAAGGTTCTCACTCCCTGTAGGCCTACTATTTATCCAGGGGTAAGGAGGGGAGGGACCAAAGGGTAAACCAACTGCAAAAGTCTTACCCTGGCCCTGCACTGACCTGCTGTAAAGCTCCCTCTCTCCTGGGGCTAGGATGGGGAACCCTGGGGCAGAAGTGGGAGAGCAGGAGCCCAGTAGATGGATGTTGCCTGGTCCTCTCCAGTCTGACCCACCTCTCTCCCTGGTTCTGCCTAATCTCCCAGCCTTTGCCCAAGGGGAAAACTGCTTAAAAACTGTTAGGTGGACAACAATAGATGCAGGAATAATAGGGAAACCTTGTTCTTGGAGTATCCAAAACAGAAGCCAGCCAAACTGACTCCAACGATAACTAAAGTATCACTTTGGAGGGGGGGCTGACACTGTAACAGAACATCTATAGAGATAATTGGGTGGCCTAGAAGATGAAGATGGTTCCCTTGGTTAGTGTAATGATGACTGCAAACAGCTTGATCACACCCCTAATCCAACGTTTGGGCCCAGGCCATCTATAGGCATGCCATGGAGGAGTCAAGTGAGTACATCGTTTGTCAAAACCAATTGTCCCCACTGATAGAGACCTGCTAAATTTCTCATTGAGAAGAGGGCAAGAAATAGTGACCCATAACTGCCAATTCAATCTGTTGGGCGAGTCAGCTGCTGAAAGCTGGGTATCCACTAGTATAATGTTTGTTTGACATTTTTCCTTGTATGAATGCTGTAAGAACGTGTGTTTTTTTTTCTAATTATTAGTGGAGTCAAATTGATGTTTGTTTTCGACCACAGTGGCAAGAAAATTCAAAGGAGCAGGATGGAATTTTTTCTCAAACATACAAATTTCTAACTGTGCATGCGGTTTTCATGTGGTGAAGTCCATTCATTCCAAAACTGAATGTTAAAAGTAAACCAAATTTTTAACTACTTTCGATTGAAATTCAAATTAAGTTGATCCAGGGAATATCCGATTGCCTCTCGGGGGATCAGGAAGGAATTTTTTCCCCTGCAGGAGCAAATTGGATCTTGGGGTTTTTCTTTTGCCTTCCTCTGGATCAACTGTGGGTGTAGGAATATAACTTTTTTTTTTGGTTGAACTGGATGGACTTTTGTCTAACTATGTATCTATGTATGTTCTGAGATATTTGGTGGATATTTTCATTCAAATTTCTCAGTATACTCAGTTTAACTGGCACAAAGAGACATTTACTCATCCATGGTCATCCTTGGACACACTCAGGTTAAATATGTAATCTGTATACAAGAATGACCTATATTTCTTGAGTTAGTCCTAGTTGTAAGATAGAGTCGTCTATATTTGTTCTGTCACATGTTCTGTCCCCCTTTGTAATGTACAGCGCTGAGCGAACTATTGGCACTTTATAAATACTGTATAATAATAATAATATACTCTTTTAAAATTTAAAATAGTTTTTTTGATAGAATAACCTATATTGTACGTCTGTAACATCCTGGTAAGTTAGCTCAACTCCTTATGGTAATGAATGGATTCAGAGTTGTGAAATGAACAAGTCCTACACTTTTCAGCAGACAGAATACCATAAAACAACAGCTACATTTAATGTAATGTTCTTTTTCACTTTCAGCCAACAACAAATTGTTTGGAAAGAAGAACAGAATGGTAAGTTCCCGGACTGCACCTCATTTTATGTTAGGTATGTTCTACCACATTGCTGGTTTGTGAAAGGTACCGTGTTTCCCACAAAATAAGACACTGTCTTATATTATTTTTGGCTAAAAAAACACACTGGGTCCTATTTTCGGGGTAGGTCTTATTTTTTAAATGTCCAGTTGTGGACAGGGGGTGCAGAGGTGAGCTGCAGGCAGTTGTGGATGAAGGTTACTATAGAGAGGGCCGGTTGATGATGGTTGTGAGCTGCAGTCAGGTGTTGCAGGGGTGACTTTACAGGTGAGTTTCAGACAGGGTGCAGAGATGGGCCACGGATGGGGTGCAGAGATGGGCCACAGACGGGGTGCAGAGATGGGCCACAGACAGGGTGAAGGGGTGAGTTGCAGACAGGGAATGAAGAGGTGAGCTGTGGCCAGGGGGTGCAGAGCTGAGCTGTGGCCAGGGGGTGCAAAGGTGGGTTGCAACTCACCTCTTCCATAGTCTAGAACCAAGGACATGGTCAATTCCACCAGCATTTCCACAGTAGACTATAATATGGTATATTGAGGTGGGATCCAATGCTTTTTATGAAATTGTATGATAGTCAGGCTTTTGTAGTATATATATTTTTTATTTTTCTCTGTAGGAGTTACAATAGAGTACAACATTTGGCTTCACTCATCATATAGTCTCATAATAAGAGATTTTACATCTGCTTTAGGTTTTGTGACCCTCTGCAATTAGAGCAGTTTACTTTATTAATGTTCTTTGTGTTTGAGGCTTTTTTGTAGTTGATTGGTGTTTTTACGCTGTCCCTTTGCGTTTTTTTTTTTACTTTTTCCAATGTCAGGTTTTTCTTTTCGTGAAACAAACCCCCCATAAAATTGGAGCTTCCCAATACTTTATAAGCCATTTGAAGCTCATAGAACCGCCTTAATTTCACTTTCCGCATTGACTTCAATGCATTTTGCCAAAATCTCCTGAAATTTTGGGGGAAATTAGAATTCTCAGTTTCACTTGACCTTATTAATGACCTTTGAGGTGTTCTATGTATTTTGTGGGTGCAATAAATAACGAAGAACTTTTACTGAGGAAAATTAAACAAAATGACTGATTTTGGCATAACTGCAGGAAAGAAAAAAAACTCATTAAATTGGTTTTAACTTGTCCCCTGACACTGCTGTTTTAGTTGGCCAAAGACATAGAAGGGTGAATAAAAATGTAATTACAATGTAACCATTCAGAGATGATTTTTTTTTACATTCATGGTGGAATTACAAGGATTGGATGTCATTCATGTCACATTCGGCCACCTTAAGTCCAGTTAATACACTGAGTGTTGAACTATGAATTATATTTAAAGGGTAAATCCACTTCATGGCAAAACAATAGCATATCAAAAATTAATAAAGCATATACAATTGCTGCACAAGTTATATTGTAATTGAATGTTATTAAAAATGACCTTTCCTTTTCAATCTGCAGCGGTGTCATTTTCTGTAAAATGAAATACAATATGGCCACCTGGAGACATTCTGTAGCAGATGGTGTTCAGAACACCCCCCAGAAATGTCATTTCCAGCTTGAGTGATTGGCTTACTGATTTTCCCAGAAGTCTCCACCAAGACACAAGTCAGATTTTGGACAACCCCTACAACAAAAATGTCAGTTTTGGTGAGATACTCCCAAAGAGTAATCATGTCTAAAGGGATGCAGACCCTGCCATTTTCCTTATTAGAGTCGCCCTACAGGTGCAGCAACTGATTGATAATTACAAAATCACTCCCATTAGATTTACTTTGCACATGGATACAGAGAAACAAACAGCGTTTTCTTCAGAATAACAAAAGGTAGGAATCTGCAACAAAGTTTGTTAGAATCCCTGTAATCTACACATTTAGAGGGGAATGTTTTTTTTTTTTGCAACAAAAGTGGAGTTACCCTTTAAGCATGACTAGCACCTGGTACTTTTTATGCTGTGTTTATGGATTTGATCACATGAATGAAAATTTGTAGGGATGTTCAGCCGACATTTCCAGCGTCCTCTTACCATTGGGTAGAATAGTTCAGTACACAGCAGCACTCACCTAATTGTCAGCTCCATCTCGCCCTGCCTGTAATGTCCGGCCCACATCATGTACTGACAGCTGATCCACAACTGATCCAGAGGAAACCAAAAAATCCCAATAAAGCAATTTGCTCTGATGGGAAAAAAATCCTTCCTGATCCCCCAGAAAACAATTAGATATTGGAGATTCAACAATCCCTGCTGTTATTACCTATAAATGTTAGTATCCAGTTATATTTTGTGCATCTAGGAATGCATCCGACTCTTTTTCAAGACAATCTATTGAGCTGGCCACAGAACTAGTTCTTGAGTTTATTTCACATTATTACAGCTCTTACTGTGAAGAAGCCTTTCCAAATGTGAAGGTTAGATCTCTTTTCCTCCTGTCCTTTGTAATAGCTCTACACCAAGTTCGCTTACAGCATGCATGATAATAGGATAACTGTTCTGTTATGTTTGGGCTGTTACAGGATGACATACGAGAGGAACAAGCCAACCCTGGCTTTCATCAGGAAGAATCTATTGACCAAATGGATGAACTGACAGACCACAGTCCCATGAAAGGGAAGCATTTTAGGAAAGTTTCACAAGGTTTACCCAGGAAGTCCAAAAAAAAGCGAGGTGAGGTCTCATATCACCGTCACTTACATATACTATGTACTGTATATATGAAAACAATATTTATAACGCTTAATAGAGTGTGATGAGGAGATTTTGTTTTCATTAAACCACTTCCCATCCGGCCCATGTATATAAACGGCCGGAAGGGAGCAGTGCAGGGGTGGATGGCTGTTTATAAACGTCCTCCCCGCTCCCTGCTTGTGCGCGCTCCCTGGGAGTGTGCTGCACCGCTATCTGGAGGACACAGCAGCACACAACGATCACTGTACAGGACCTCTGTGTGAGGTCCCGATCATGTGATCACTGATTGGCCAATTAGTGATCACATGAATCACTGTACGGGACCTCTGTGTGAGGTCCTGATCATGTGATTACTGATTGGCCAATTAGTGATCACATGAATCACTGTACGGGACCTCTGTGTGAGGTCCCAATCATGTGATCACTGATTGGCCAATCAGTGATCACATGAATAGTAGTAAGCAAGATGTCACTTGCTGACATCATTGCTTACTACGTGTGAAATCTGTGAATGATCACAGAGGTCACATGGTACAAGGCTATTCACAACAGCCTTGTACCATGTGACAAGCTGTGACCAATCACAGCTCTCACAGTGTTTCTCAATGGCAGCAAGAATGCAGCTAGAGAGGAGAAATGATTGCTTTTACAGCCTTTATGGCTAAAAACAATCAGTGTAAATGAAAAAAAAAATTCTTCATCACCCCCACAAATAGTCGCTATGGTGACACTGTACTGCTAGGGTGACAGTATGTTAAAAAAAAAAACCCAAAAAATAAATAATATTAAAAAAATAAAATAAAAATGTAAAATTATTTTTTTGAAAAATTATAATTTTTGGTTATAAACTAATATGGGTTATTTTTTTTTTTTTACTAAAAAGATAACTGAATACACTTTGGCCAATATATATGAAGAAATATTATTTATTTGCAAACTTTTATAAGAAAAACACTTTTTTTTCAAACTTTTTTGACTTTTCATTTATATAGCAAAAAAAAATAAAAATCCCAGTGGTGAATAAATATCACCAAAATAAAGTTTTATCTGTTTCAAAAAAAGGCTAAAAAAATTCATATGGGTTCAGTGTTGTATGACCGCGCAATTTTCATTCAAAGTGTAACAGCACTGCAAGCTGAAAATTGGCCTGGACAGGAAGGGGGTAAAAGTGTGCTGACTTGAAGTGGTTAATGGAAGACTGGCACAACATACAGAATGTCATATGAATAAGCAGGTATTGAAACACGACCTTCATCACTTTAGCTTGTTTACAGACTGCTAGTATCCTCAGGGGAGGGTCTGCCAACCTTCTAACTCCTCCCCTTTAAGAGATCCTTTCATTGAACCTGCTGAGCATTGTTATTGCACAACCCCTGGGAGATTCTTAGCACAGATAGGAAAATGGACAATTAGACTGGCTAGACATTAAACACACACAAATGATGTTAAAAAGTTGCTAAGACCATGTGTACCTAGAGTTGTGCTCAAAAGTGTGCATACCCTGGCAGAAATTGTGAAATTTTGGCATTGATATTGAAAATATGACTGATCATGCCACAAAATGCTCTTTTATTGAAGGATGATGATCATATGAAGCCATTTATTATCAAATAGTTGTTTGGCTCCTTTTTAAATCATAATGATAACAGAAATCACCCAAATGGCCCGGATCAGAAGAGCATTTTTTATCATGATCAGTCATATTTTCAATATCAATGCCAAAATTTCACAATTTCTGCCAGGGTATGCAAACTTTTGAGCACAACTGTATGTGTGTAAAAGTTAGGGGTGGCCCTGCTCTACCTCATTTTGAACCAGCACTATATGATGTAAGCTGAATTATTTTGCATTTTTTTTAGTGCTTTTTACAGAAACACACTACATTCCATTTAACATGGTTTTCTATTGGACACGTGAACGTTTATTTATCAGTGGGTTTCTAGAGGAGTTTTTTTGCTATAAAATGCAGCAAAACACCACAAAACACAGCAAACCGGCGTTTTTGGACGTTTTTTGAACCCCCCAAAAATTGTTTGGTAAAATAAAATGATAAAAAATGCTAAAAAATGCAAACGTGGGAAAACGCCACTAAATGCGTCAAACGCCAATGCAAAAAACGCTAAAAAAGCTGAAATACTCACATTTTTAACATGACTTTACACAGCTAACGTTACCGGCGTTATCAAAACGTCCCGTGTGCATGAGGGCTTAGGCTCAAAATCACTCATAAATGCCACATAGCTGCATTTTTTAGCGTTTTTGAGCTTTTATCAGAGTTAGAGCATTTTTATAGCTAAAAAACTCCTTTTGAATCCCACGAGTTCTGGGGTTTTTTTTCCAGCCAGAAAACAATCCTGCCAAAAAATGCTGATTAAAGCCTATGTGTGCATGGACACTTACTAAGTTCACATCTGTGCGGGTGGTGCCGCTGCGGATCCGCACAAAAATCCGTGCAGCTACACCATCAGCACAGAGAAATGCGGACACGCGGGAGGGTGTCATTAGTTCTAATGGCACGCCGCCCGCACTGGAAAACGCAGCCCGCACGGGAATCTCAGTTATGAGATTTTACTGATTGGGTTTACATCTGCTTTGAGTTGGCTGCCTTTCTGAATTAATCTGAACATTTACCTATAGGCCTCATGTCTCAGAGAATAGGTGCTGGAACTCCCCCCTTCTCAGTCACTTCTTGTCTCCTTCCCCCTATCCACCTCCAAGCACATCTCTTGGTTCCACCCTTGACCCAATTCCCAGTACCTCTCTTTTAGAGAATGCAGAACCAACTATCATTTTGCGGTGCTAATAATTTGTATGTGATTTGTTAATAATAACAAGAAAAGCAGTAAAATAGATCTCCTGCAGCAAGCAACAACAGATCCCCCCAGCAACAATAGACCCCTCACAACAATATATTTTCCCAGTAACAATGGACCCCCCCAGCAACAATAGACCCCTCACAACAATATATTTCCCCAGCAACAATCGACCCCCCCAGCAACAATAGACCCCTCACAACAATATATTTCCCCAGCAACAATGGACCCCCCCAGCAACAATAGACCCACCACAACAATATATTTCCCCAGCAGCAATAGATCCCATGGCAAAATACCACCCCAGCAACAATAGACTCCCAGCAGCCAGCATCAATACATTGTCTATAAGCCAGCAACAAAAAAAACCCTCCCTCGACAGTACATCCCTTCCAGCAACAATTGACCCCCCCTCCCCAGCAACAACAGATCCCCCACCTGCAACAATAGTCCTCCTCAGCAACAATAGACTTCCACACAAAAATAGATCTCCCGAGTGATCCCCCAGCAGTTAGCATCCATGACACTTGCCAGTACATACAGTTAGGTCCATATATATTTGGACACAGGTACAATTTTAGTTTTTTCAGGAATTTACCAAAAATTATTCAAGCTATAGTTATATAATGGATATGGGCTGAAAGTGCACACTCTCAGGTTTAATTTGAGGGTATGTACATCCAAATTGGAGGAAGGGTTTAGGAATTGCAGCTCTTAAGAGTAGCCATCATCCCAGGGACCAAATGTAATTGGACAATTGAATATAATCATAAAATGTTGATTTTGAATATTGTGTTGAATCCTTTACTGGCAATGACTGTCTGAAGTCTGGAACCCATGGACATAACTAAAGACTGGGTTTCCTCCTTTCTGATGCTCTAATTGCAGCTGTCTTCAGTTGTTCTTTGTCTGTGGGTCTTTCTGCCTTTAGTTTTGCCTTCAGCAAGTGAAATGCATGCTTAATTGGGTTGAGATCAGGTGATTGACTCGGCCATTGCAGAATATTCCACTTCTTTTCCTTCAAATGTTCCCGGCTTTTGCAGTGTGTTCAGTACTGGAGGTGCCGGAACTGCGTTCCTGTTGGAAAAAAGCCCTGCCTCATTCACACGGGTGTACTGATCCATATTTCAGTGCAAAGGGTTGTCTTCGGCCACCTGGGATCCAGAAGTAGCATGCTGAAAAATTGATAGGCCACCAGCTGAACAGACCTGCATAGACTTCCATGTGCATCCTGGAGTGCACATCTATGTGGTTCTGATGCACGGATCAAGACGCACACAGACTGTGTTCTGCATCAGACCAGAGCAGATATGCACTCCGTGATGCATGTGGAGGTCCATGTAGGTCCATGTCACCAGTTGGCGACCTATCATTGATATCAACAGGCTGTCTGTACAGCCCTCCACAGAGCACCTGGTCATCCTGGGTGGCTATGGACAACCCTTTGCATGGGCATATGGATCGGTACACCTGTGTTAATAAGGCCATAGCCTGTAGCCATTACATATGCTGTACGTACAGGTATACCAGTCATCCCCCATGTTAAAAAAAATAAAAAATATTATTTATGATCCCATGTATGTGGATAAATTGTTTAATTATACTGCTATGCTGGGTTTTCTTTGTCCAAGAGAAGCCAAACCCCTCATTAAGGCTCCGTTCACACCAATGCGTATTTTAGTGATTTTTGCAGAAGCGCACTACAGTCCAGGGGTGGACTGACAACTCATGGGGCCCCGGGCAATAGGGGATCATGGGGCCCCTGTGTCCTTGCCCAAACTCAAAAAAGCCTATGAAAAAGGTACCAGGGGCATCTCATGGGGCCCCCTACTGACCCCGGGCTCTCGGGCAGTGCCAGAGTTTCCAAGTGGTCAGTCCGCCTCTGCTACAGTCCATTTAACATGGTTTTCTATGGAACATGTTCACATGTATGGTTTTTGGAAAGGGTCAGAGACTTTTTTAAAAGCAAAAAGCAGCGTTTTTGCTACAATAGAGTTCAATGGAGAATCTGCAGAAATGCATGGTAGTACGTTTTTTTTTTTCCCGCATTTTTGCCAAGTTTTGCATTTAGCACTTTTATTGTGCCCAGCAAAAAAAAAAAAATTCAACTTTTAAAAAAAAAGAGTTGAAGAAAACGCAAAACAGGATAAAAACACACATCAAAACCGCGTGTAGAAAAACGCAAAATGAACTGCAAAAAGCTCTGCAAAACGGCAAAAAAAGCAAACTGCATAGGTGTGAATGGAGCCTAAAGATCTCCAATGTAATCTCTCCTCCCTCTTTTCCAGCTTGCTTTTGGAAATACTGCATCAAAACGAGCGACTGAGACGACCGCGTGCGATGATCGCGGAATTTAGGGACCCGACAGCGAAATCTTCATCTCGAAGACTTACCGTAGTAGCTTTAGAGACCAGGAACATTGTGGTTCTGTTCCAGCACTTAAAATGTAACAAAACTGTATATACTTTATGTTTAAATTAAAGCAACTGAAAGGACATTGAAGAGGAAAAATTCATATCTAAGTATTTCTAATTGATTTGTAACGAAAAACAGAAACGCTTGTAATATTTGCTTTCCAACGAGACCTTGCTGAGAAACATACTGAGAATGCCGGATGCTTGGCTGCCTCTAACCGCAGACGTTGAGTCACTGACCCAGAACAAGTATGTAGCAAGTGAAGTCAGAGGAATCTGGAAAACCTGATCCTCATGACTGTTCTGGGTCAATGACTTAGAAATTCTGAGGCTCTGTTCACACAAGGGGCGGACTGATCATTTGGAAACTCGGGCACTGCCTGAGGGCCTGGGGTCAGTAGGGGGCCCCATGAGATGCCCCTGGTACCTTTTTCTTACGATTTTTTGAATTTGGGCAAGGACACAGGGGCCCCATGATCCCCTATTGCCCGGGGGCCCCATGAGTTGTCAGTCCGCCCCTGGTTCACACCAATGCGTTTTTTAATGCTTTTTTGCAGAAATGCACTACAGTCCATTTAACATGGTTTTCTATGAAACATCTTCACATCTAGGCCCTCCAACCCTCTTGTATTGAACTGTATTGTTGCTGTATTGTCTCCATTTATTATTATTATTATTATTATACAGTATTTATAAAGCGCCAATAGTTCACTCAGCGCTGTATATTGTAAAGCGCTGAGCAAACTGTTGGCGCTATATAAATCCTGTATAATAATAATAATAATAATAACAATAATAATAATCTTTGCTTTTTTGAGCTGCTGCATTTTTGGAAAGGGTCAGGGACTTTTTTTAAAAGCAGAAAGCAGCGTTTTTGCTACAATAGAGTTCAATGGAGAATGCATGGTAGTGAGTTTTTGTGCCATTTTTGCTGTGTCCTGAATTTTTACTCTGCCCAGCAAAACAAAAATTCAATTTAAAAAAAAAAAATTCAACTTTAAAAAAAAAAAAAAGCTGAACAAAACACGGTAAAAAAACGAGTCAAAAACGCATCCAAAACGTGTATAGAAAAACGCAAAATGAACTGCGAAAAGCACTGTAAAAAGCAACTGCATAGCTGTGAACGGAGCCTACATTTTGTGGATTAGCATTACAGCCAGGGAAATAGCAACTTCAAAGAGAGAGTTCAGCAATGGCAGCCTTTGTATGTTCTCATTGTGGGTTTAATTTATATGTGTTATTTTGTGTGTACTTGTAGCTATAATATGGACAAAAAGGGAATCTTTGTAATTGTCTCTTTGATATTGTTGGTTGACGTTTGAGGGGGTATCAGGGGTCCTTTATATATTATTAGAGACATCAGATGTCCAATGGGTTTTTTTATGGCTGTTAAAGGTCCATGAGAGATGGAATCCAGGTAAACAGCTAAATACATCGATGGAATACATATAAAGGAACCTGTCCTGCCTGCCAATAGATTCATATTTCTGTCCATTCAGTCCTTAGATTTACACAGCTCTGTCACACAGCCCAGGGCAGGAGACCAGGCCTTTCCCCACTGCAGTCAAGTAACCCTTACTGGTCTTTTTACTGCCCTCACTGATGGGCCAAGTTTCATACACTTTGAATTACCCCTATTTTGACCTTAAAAATTACTTAAAACTTCCCAAATGGTTACATTATATCATATTATTTAACATTTGGCCTGGTTCACACCAATGCATTTTTTAGTCCTTTTTGCAGAAACGCACTACAGTCCATTCAACATGGTTTTCTATGGAACATGTTCACATCTATGCTTTTTTAAGCTGCTGCATTTTTGGAAAGGTTAAGGGACTTTTATAAATGTAAAAAGCAGCTACAATAGAATTCAATGGAGAAGCTGCTGAAATGCATATAGTGTGTTTTTGCCACATTTTTGTCATGTTTTTGCTACATTTTTGTCATGTTTTTGCCACATTTTTGTCATGTTTTTGCCACATTTTGCATTTTTATTCTACCTAGCAAAAAAAAATTTCTACTTGATCAAAACAAAGCTGAAAAAAATGCAAAATGCAATAAAAAATAGGCAAAAAATGAGTATGGAAATACTGCAAAACAGGCAAAAAGCACAATGCATTGGTGTGAACCAGGCTTTAGACTAGGTTCATACCTATGCAGGTTGCGTTTGAGCCGTTTCTGAATTGCGTTTTGCATGTGTGTTTTTGACGCGTTTTTGATGCGTTTTGCATTTTTTAATTTTTTTTCTTGTTGCTCGGCAGATTTAAAATGAAAAACCCAAAACGCAGCAAAAACCGCACTACAGGCTTTTCTGCAGCATTTCCATTGAAGTCTATAGAATCAAAAACGCAACTTTTGGCATTCAAAAAAGTTCCTGACCCTTTCCAAAAACCGCACTGGGTGAAAACTTGCAGATGTGAACATGTCCCATAGGAAATCATGTTAAATGGACTGTACTGCGTTTTGCAAAACGTTGCGGAAAACGCTTGGGTGTGAACCCGAGGTAACACATTTTTCTGAAAGCACCTGTACCAAATGATGACAGTTGCATATTTTCATGTCACACTGTGGGGCTGAGTTACTAAAACTGGAGCCCTGGTTCACACTGATGCGGTGGAGAATTCGCAGCATTTTCAGTGAAAATTCCGCACCGCATCAGAATCGCACCCCATTCATGCAAACCGTTGCGGGTGTGTATGTTAAGTTAACAACACCCCGAAAGCGGTCCGTAAAATGCGGTGCGATGTGCAGAATCGGATCACATAGGTGTGAATACCCATGTGATCCGATTCTAGTGCAGACCCAAAAAAAGGGTCCTGCACAAATTTGGTGCCGGTGCGGTGCGAATACAGCCATACAAAATGTATGGCTCCAATCGCACCGCACACATTTGCACAGGAATGCGGTGCGGTTTCTGTGCGAATCACATGCGATATACCGCACTGCACAAACTTGTGAACCCGGGCTGAAAGTGCAAAATCTGGTGCAGCTGTACATGGTAGCCAATCAGCTTCTTCTTTTTATTCCACTTGTTCAATTAAGCTTTGACAAAAAAAAAATCCTGGAAGCTGATTGGTTTCTATGCAGAGCTGCACCAGATTTTACACTCTCCAGTTTTAGTAAATCAACCCCATTATTTCTGCAACCATTATGAAAACGATATTTTCATTAAAAAATATATTTTAGTGCACACAAACACAATATAGTTTCCAATTTGTTTGCTAAATATAACGGCTGAGAGAGTGTCAAGTAACTAGATACCAAATATGCCAAGCCTTACATTTATGAGAAATGAGGATACCCCAATGTGTCCATAGGTAACGCTTTAACAGACTTTACATCTCATCTATTTAAAGAGTAACTCCACTTGCTGAGAAAAAAAAAAGCAATCCCTTTTGGGTGATTAGTATACATTTTAGGAATTTTAACAAGCATTGTAGCAGCTTCCTACCTTTTGTTGTTCTGTGTTTGGCTCACCCTGTCCTTTGGATACAGATTCTGAATGGGAGGGTCTGGCTCATTATAATCACCTGGTGCACTCTCAGTGTTCTAATGGGAAAAGCTGCAATGTCTACATCCCTTTACAAGTATTAACCCTTTTGGAGTATGTCACTGAAAGTGACATTCCTATTGCAGAGGGTGGCTAAAATTTGATTTGTATCTAATGCAGGCAATAGACGGGTCGAAAACCGCCCGTTTAAAAAAAAAAAAAAAAAAAAAAAAAAACGAAAAATCGGTCGTTCAATAGGCCGACATTACCACCAATGGTAAAAAAAATCGGCCAAATTTTGTCCCGTCTATGGCCAGCATTTAATTACTTCTGTCCCTTGCAGAGAGCTCCGCTATTATATTTGACATGAAAAAGTATTGCAGTTGCAACAATGTATCCATTTCAGATACAATGTTTTTATTCAGATACAAATAGATACATTGTTGCAACCGCAATACTTTTCATATCAAATATAATAGTGGACTGGAATTCTTCTTTTTCTTCTCCTTTTTCTTCTTCTTCTTTTTCTTCTTCTTGCAGGTCATGGCTCATGCGCAGATTTTTTATCGGTAAAACGATCGGCCGATTTAACCATCATTGCTGGGAATATCGGCGGATCGGCAAAATCGGCCGATTTTTTTCCAACTTTACCGATAAAAAAAAAATGTGCCAAAACCCCCCAGAAATGGCCGACCAATTAACCCACTAACAGTGCGAAAATCGGCTAATTTTTTTTTCGTCCGAAAAATCGGCTGATTTTCGACCCTGCATTAGTGCAGACTTCTTGGAAAATCGGTGAGCCAATCACACAATATGTTGGAGGCATTCTATATACCGGCGGTGTACAGAAAGCCTCAGGGTTGCCATATTGTATTTAATTTCATAATTAAAAATCACAGATTGTGCTGTAGAGTGAAAAAGAGAGGTCATTTTAATACCCGTATGTCATTGGATGGGAAGGGTGGTATCTCGGTCATTGCTGCAGCGATGACCAAGATATCATTTTTTAGAGACGTGATTCCCTTCAATGTAAAAGTAATCCTAGTGGCTACACAGATGGTGGAAGTGGATCCCCCTCCCAGATGGGACGGAAAAGGCAGGTAAGGACGCAACCAGCGGCATCCGCTTTCTGGGATACAGTGAGAGGAAGGGGCGGACTGACCATTTGGAAACTCGGGCACTGCCCGAGGGCCTGGGGTCAGTAGGGGGCCCCATGAGATGCCCCTGGTACCTTTTTCATAGGCTTTTTTGAGCTTGGGTTAGGACACAGGGGCCCCATGATCCCCTATCACCCAGGGGACCCCATGAGTTGTCAGTCCACCCCTGGTGAGAGGAACTGATGTTGTTCCTTCCACCATATGATGTCCAAAACCACTGTGTGATGTCCAATCTCGCTGTCTATTGTGACGTCTGATCTGGGTT